AACATGCCTCTTCATCCCATTCCAATAGTACTGGTAGCAAAGATCATGATACATCTTTGTGCCACCTGGATGCACCGCAAAACGAGAGCAATAAAACTCCCTAAGGATCTCCTCTCTCAGATCAGCATACTAGGGAACCACAACCCTTCCCCTGAACCAAAGACTACCATCTGCTTGAATGGCCCAGCCCTCGTCACCTATGCCCAACTGTACCCTGTCTCTGATGGAAAATATCTCAGTATCTTGCCCCTGGGACTCAATCACCCTGCTCAGTAGGGAAGGCGTAGCCACTAGACTCCCCAAAGTGCCCTGAATTTGATCCCTGTAATGTAGCCCTAACTGTCCCACAGTCTCGAGCGTCAGCCATTCCTAGAAAGCTATACTGGCCAAAACTCCCTGTGACTTCTGACTCAGTGCATCAGCCACCACATTTGCCTCACCGAGATGGTAATGCAAAGTGAAGTCATAATCCTCTAGGTACTTCATCGACCTGCGCTACCTCATATTGAGGTCCCGCTGTGTGAAGATGTACTTCAGACTTTCATGGTCTGAAAACACCTCAACCTGCTCTCCATATAGATAGTGGCGTCATGCCTTCAAGCCAAAGACAATAGCCACCAACTCCATATCATGCGTGGGATAGTTCTGCTTGTGGCTCTTTAACTGTCGAGAACTATAAGCTACCACTCTTCTGGACTGCATGAAAACACACCCAAGTTCATCCTTGTAGGCATCACAATACACTATGTACCTCTGTCCCCTCTCCGAAACTATCAAAATCGGAGCTAAAGTAAGCCTCTTCTTCAACTCTTGGAATGCCCTGTCATATTAGTCATCCCACTGAAACTTGACCTCCTTTCTAGTAAATCTAGTCATAGGTGCAGCTAGTCGAGATGAACCTCCTGTAATACCCCACCAATTCCAAGAAACTACGTATCTCGAAGACTAACTTCGGCCTCACTCAACTTATGACTGCCTCAACTTTCTTCGAATCAACTAACACACCCGAAGCTGACACCATGTGTCCCAAAAATTTTACCTCTGTCAGCCAAAATTCGCATTTGCTGAACTTAACATACAACCGGTGGTCTCTCAAGTCCTGGAGAATAACCCTCAAATAACCTTCATGCTCCTCCTCAGACTTGGAGTAGATCAGTATGTCATCAACAGAAACCATAACGAACTGATCTAAGTAGGGTTGGAACACCCTATGCATAAGATCTATGAATGCCATCAGGACATTCGTCAATCCGAATGGCATCACAATAAACTCAAAATGCCCATAACGCGTTCGAAATACTGTCTTCAGAATGTCGGCATCCCTAATCCTCAACTGATGGTACCCCGTGGGCAAATCTATCTTGGAGTAGACTCGTTCCCCTCTCAGCTGGTTAAAAAGATCATCGAACCTCAGCAGTGGGTACTTGTTCTTAATAGTGACCTTATTCAACTGCCGGTAGTCAATGCAGAACCTAAGCGTCTTTTCCTTCTTCTTGGCAAATAACATCGAAGCACCCCAAGGTGAGGTACTCAGCCTAATAAAGCCTCTATCCAATAGCTCTTGTAACTGGACATTAAGCTCCTGCAACTCCGCCGGTGCCATCCTATGTGTTGTCATAGAAATAGGGGATGCACGGAGCTATAACTCTATGGTGAAGTCTACATCCCGATGCGGTGGCAACCCCAGTAACTCATCTGAAAAGACATCCACATAGTCGCACATGACTCAAGGCACATCCAAATCATGTCTCTCCTCATCCTCTAGTGTATGGCTAGCAAGCCAACCTATCAACTGTCTGTGCCATCGGGAGTCATATACGGCCTGGGGTAAAGCATTGTCCTTCTTCCCCTAAAACTTGAAACAAATCCTGTCTAAAATGTAGGTCGTAACCCTCTTGCGCTCGCAATCAATGACGACCTTATGTGCTGCCAACCAATCCATCCCGAGTATGACATCAAACTCTATCATCTCGATGATCCTATGATCAACGGTGAGTTGGGTCCCTTCAATCTCCAACTCACAACCTCGACTCTAAGGTTATGTTTTCTAACCGTAGTGTCTCATTCATATATATATATTTAATCAAACATATAATCTCACAACACATATCATGTAATATTTAATACATTTAACTTGCAATGCACAATGGATACAATGGTCTCGACCCAAGTCCCGTAAGCCCTAGGTAAATAGAGAAGTTAGTCTCTGATACCAAGCTTTGACGTCCCAAAATTTGGGTGTCTGTAATTACCCGGTTGATCACCCATCAATCCTGGAAATAGCCATGGATACCGTGTAATTCGATACCACACCGTTATACCCCATTTACCAAGATCCATAACTTAATAAAATTTGGGCAGAGTCTCTTTTGTACGTGGAGCTCTATCCAAAATGCAACACGTGCAATCATACAACATTGACCACACCGGGTCCATTCATCCATACTCAATTGCATAGTATTGAATATTACCATAATCATCATCACTACGTACATTCATTCATAAAAGAATAAATGTCTCAAAAGAGTCTCATATACATGCCTTTTTAATATAAAAGAATTTTTTGTTTACAAAAATTATACAAGGCCAAAAGTAAACATATACAAGGGACTACAAAGTCAAAATAAGAGCCACATATCGGCTCTGTCGTTAAAGCGGGCCCATGGCCTCGCCTTCAGTGGACGCCTGTACAATGCCTAAAAAATATTCCCATAAAGAGTGAACCAACGCTCAATAGGGTAAATCCTATAGAGAATAACTCTCAACCCAAATGCATATGAAATGTCACACGCAATAATCATTTTTTGCATTCATTCAAATATGTCTATTATGAACAAATGTCATAAATCGTATCATGCCATGAGATGAGACTCACACAAGCAATACCAACGCCGACCCCCATCCTGAGCTCCCACAACACATGTAATATCATGTGTATGTATCAGGGCATTCTAATCCCCCGTCATTAGTGTTATGTACACTCAATGACTAATTAATTCATTTTCTTGTGTCTTTGTGAGAAGATGATTTATGGTATTACACCAATGAGATACCACACCATCAACTGATTTTCAAGACATCCCACCTGTGCTCCGTTTTCATTGTTACACTTTTCTGGAATTGCACCGCCGAAAAATATATAAACCAAGTAAACAGATCTTGCACCCGAGGGAGAATCTATCCCTTCTTTCTATACCCCGACACATTTATTTATTTAATTTTTCGTGCGACTCAGCTAGACCTTGATGTGACTTTCCCAAATCCACGACCTATGTGGTGATTGATTTCATACCATGCACACACTCCCACCCATGTCAATGTCCGTGAATGTAGTGCAGCTCATGCGTAATGCAATATAATGTACAATTGTCTTTGGTACCATTTACAATGTTCATTACATAATGAATGCAATATAATGACATTTTTCAACACAATCTCAAGCATGTTATGTAAGATAATTAACTCAACCAACATACTTGTATTCACCTAGGCATTTAAACAAACACCTAAATGGCACATCAATTTACACAACTAGCATGTTTATTACTTCCAACATGGCAACATGTTTATTAATTTTATAAACATAAGCACAAGTCCACCACAATAATCATATGCTAAATAATCGTTTAACATACATATTATTTCATAATCACATAACAAGCTAATAATTTTATTACACTTGATATGTCATTAAAACCTCAAGTCATACTAATTTATAATTAACATACTTTTAAACCACTAACATTAACTTACACCAAGTTAATTACAATAGGATTTTACTAATTACAAGGTTAATTATAAATCTTATATTTGACCCACTAGTTACATTAGTCAAGACCTAACATGTGATATACACCTTTAGCCTACCGATTTAATATGTCATATTTTAGGTTGAAATTACATATAAATAGGGGAAACCCTACCTCTCGTAGCATAAGCCCACGTAGTAGAATTCCAAGGAAAGCCTAAATTTAGCTTCCTAAGCCTTAGGCCTATATTCTCGTCTTTGATATTTTTTAGAGAAAAATACGATCTTTAGTGTGGTTGCGTAACTCTCATTGCGTAGAGCAACTTTAATTCTTGGCCCGAAGAGATTAAAGGGTTTAATCTTTGTAGATCTGAGGAAGAAAATCAGGAGGTCTACTTTTTTTTTTCTTTTTTTTTCTCTTTCTCTCTTTTCTATCTCTATCTCACCACCTCTGGAGAAGAAAACAAAAGTGGAAGACAAAAATCTTCCACTTATATATATAGTCTAAATTTTTTTTTTTTTAAATGTATGTTTTTGACCTGTACTTTAATAAGTAATTATTATTTTACCCCTTTAATTAGGATTTTAATATTATTATTTTTTTTGGGTTTTACACGTTCTATGGAGATATGCCAATAAATTGTTTTTTCATAAAATTCAAATTTTTCATATATAATTTGATAAATTACATACGGAACCCTGGAGGTTTGTCACTTAATCAGATAGACCCCCTCCGATATAAGAAATTATATACACACGCCTTCAAGTTTGTGCACGTATATCACTTAAACCCATTGTCATTTGTATCTGTTAGAGACCGGTCAAAAATGTATTGTGCCAGCATATTATATATTCATTATCTCCAAACAACCCTTTTTCTTTGTTGGGACCCACGCTTATTGAGCTTGACCGTTGCTTCCCATTTCCCACATGATCGTTGGACACGCCATAGTTGCCAATAATATTTTGAGAAAGGCATCATTCAACATAAGTTTATAATTAGTACATGCCATAAAACTATACCCTAGCATGTTAACAGTGGCATTCAAAACCCTGCAAAAACTATGTTTTTCATGCCAAAAAACGGTGTTGCAACCCAAGAAAATTCACAAAAGAATGCCATCCAACTATACCCCTTCACAACCAAAAACAACCAACAAAATAAAACATGCAATCCAAGGCATATAAGCTACTGCCCAACAAAAGATACCACTATTGCCCAACAAAAGATAACACGTAAACAATACCCATTCTAAAACATGGCATATCCAAACTCCACATTGCCACTAGGAGAGATAGTTTCATTTTTCTTGCTACTATCTTCATGCTTCAAACCCTTGGTACCACTCATTGAAGACCCATCCTTCTTGCTCATCATAGCCTCTACACCTTTCATTTCACTCTTGCCAAGGAGCTAAGATACCCTTCTTGAACCAAATATTTGTGACAGATTTTCACCAACAGATGTCAACTAAGATGCATTTAGAATAAGGGTATTTAATTATTTATCAGTAAAATATAGCTTTATGTATTTAAGTAATTAACTGGTGTTACCTGAGATGCATCATTGCAATGAGCATTAGTTGCAGATTGAGAAGACTAAGAAGAAACCTGAGAACCTCCTCCCTGTTCATTGTGAGCATTGTTAGCACAACTAGTTGCAACCTGATAACCTCCTCTTTGCCATTATTTCCACTATTAGTAGCAACCTGAGATGCTCCTCCCTACAACAGCAAATTTGACAATCATAAACAAAAAAATGTCAGTGGCCTACAATAGAGAAACATTTTACTGCAACTTTTTAGCACACTAGGTTGCAACTTTTTTTGAACAAATTGTAATGTTTAGCCACATAATTACTCACTTAAACTCTTGTTCAATAAGTACTACAAAATTATACAAATAAACATACCATTTCATCACCATTATTAGAATGATTAGTTGCACCAACACCACTGCTTTGATCAACATTACTACCTAACCCCACTTACAACAGGATATTTGTGGTATATTACAACAAATACTACAAGTATGAACTTAAATTAAAATAAAGAAAATGTGTATTTAATTACCATTGTATTTCTTTTTTTTTCTTCCTCACTCTAATTGGCCCCCTCTGACATGTCCCTTTATTATGGCCATACTCTTTGCAATTTGCACACCTAATAGTGCATGATCTCTTTGACTGAGTTGATAGGGTTGGTTCATCCACTTCTCTTCTTCTATTTTCCTTTGGCCTTCCTGAGAGCCTTCTCATTGGTGGAGGAAGAAGAGTGGATGGAATGATCCTATTAACTGGGGGACATAAAGTTACATCCAAAATTGGGTGAATCATTTCACCATAAGCCTTGAGGTAGGCATCCTTGAGTAAAAAACATTGCAAAAATCCTCAATGTTTTGCCTCCTATAAGCAATGCCTACAGCAGCATGCTTACAGTGTATGCCACTAATATCTCATACCTTGCATTCACATATCTTCTGCCCAAGATCAACAATATAACTCCACAGAACTCAAACTAACATCACTTTCAGTGTGCACACACCACCCATATTCATCACTATAAGATAAGGCATCATCATCATTCTCATCTTGAGCCTCTTTCTCCTTAACAATACTTCTTTCATTTGAAGGCGGGCATGAGGAACTTCCTCTGCCAATGGTTGAATGAATTGAACACCATCAACATAGACATGAATCATAATGCTCTTGTTGTTCAACTGGAACATTTTCACCACATCAATGTCAACTTTTAAATGTATTTTTTGCGTTGACCTATGAATTCCACAACTTAGTGTTATGGAACTGTTGACGTTTGAAGAAATATCTATCAAAGCTACTTCACAGACATCATTTAACATATCAAAGAAGCAATACTCATCTAGATCAATGTTCTTCACAATGAACTCATTCGCTAAGTAATGAACTATTAAATCATGGACGTAAACACTCCACATCCTACAAGTAAAACATAAACTTTGAATGTGTGGTAATACCTAAAAATAGTTCATTACTGTGAATGTGTGGCAATACCTAAAAACAGAATATATTGTGGTGTGTGAATGAGTGGCAATACCTAAAATTAGAAAACATATAGCCCATAAAAATACAGAAAAACAACAAACCATAACAAAATCAGGATCACATAAGCACAAAAAAATGAAGCCACAAGAAAAACACAAAAAAAAACATATAACAAAATCAGATCACATAAACACAGAAAAACAAGAAAAAACCATAACAAAATTAGGATCACATAAACATAGAAAAAAGTGGCTACAAGAAAAACACATAAAATAAATAAACCAGGAAAACACAAAAACATAGAAATTATGATCATTCAGCTTACTGAAGCATCACAGAAACCACTAATGATATATACACTCTCAGAAATAACTTCATTTATTCGAGAACAAATCCTAATCACAAATATTTTTGAATTAGTTTGTTTTACTTCAATACAACCAGCCTCTATTTTAACGTATATTAGATATGAAAAACCCCCAAATTTATTTCAAACAAACCCTATTTTTTTTTCAAAAAGAAAACTTAACCAAATGTTATTCACTCGTTAAAATGAACAATAAATCTCACAATAATGTTTTCAGTCGATGACCTAGCCTCAAACATTACATGCAAACAACTCTTGAAGTATAACCAAAACCCTAACCTCTTGTACCCACCTTCACCACGATGTAGGCTTCACTCTCAAGTTTCTTCACTACCAGCAACAACTTCAAATATCAGCAGTAACAAATGAGGATGAGGATGAGGATGAACTCATGTCATGTTTCAATTTCAGTCGATGAACTCATGTCATGTTTCACTCTCAGTGGATGAATTTAGAGGTATCAAATGCTTCACTCTCTANGATGAACTCATGTCATGTTTCAATTTCAGTCGATGAACTCATGTCATGTTTCACTCTTAGTGGATGAATTTAGAGGTATCAAATGTTTCACTCTCTATTTTTTTTTTTGCAGTGATGAACTCATGATCTTTTGATAAGGATGAAAATTTAATGAGAGAGAGAGAGGATGAAGAGTAGGATACCAAGGACTCTCCCGCCTTTTGTTCTACTGTGTGGAGCAATAAGGGCCTTTTAGCAAAGGCATCAAATCTAGAAAATATCTTGGGCCTTTTTGACATTTGCCATTTTCCGTTAGCAAAACGTCAATGACATAGGGTCCCTATGTAATTTCGTATACTTGAAGGGCTTTGTGTGATTAAGTGACAAACTTCAGAAGGTTTGAATATAATTTACCCAATATAATTAAACACTCATATTGATCTTTTCTATATATAAAAAATATATTTATGATCTCCCAATACAAATTTGGATTTCCCTTCATCCATGTCGACCATCACTCAAATCAACACCGGCCACACCGACAAGCTCGCTACCATGGATTTTAAACAACCCACTTGAAGATCTTGCCTTCACTCTGTCTAATTAAGTGACAAACCTCAGCTGGTTTGAATGTAATTTACCCAATATAATTAAACATTCATATCGATCTTTTCCATATATAACAAATATGTTTATGATCTCCGAATACAAATTTGGATTTTCCTTCATCCACATCAACCATCACTCAAATCGACATCGAATATCACTGACGAGCTCGCTACCATGGATTTTAAACAACCCACTTGAAGATCTTGCCTTCACTCCTTCCTCTCACCTCCCATAAAGCCCTAACTTCATCCTCTATCTTCATCTTTGCTGGAGTACACCATTGCAATCGATGCCGGACCATAGCTGACAAAAATCACTATCTCACTATTGCCTATTTCCTTCTAAATGACTTTCCACTTTTGCTAGTTAGCTTTCTCTGATTGTATATGCAGCAAATCCTTTCTCATATCTCTCTCTCTCTCTCTCTAGATACCATGGTAGATTCTTGCCAGATAGTTGTTCCTTCATTAATGCTATACTTCATCTTAGGGCTGAACTCACCATCAGATTGTGACTCCTCTTTTTTTATCTTTTGGGTACTATAAAAAAAATTTTAATTTGGCTTGAACAAAGAATTATGGATGTTGTTGTTGGTGTAAGCATTAATGTTTGTGGCTTAGATGACGAAAGATCAATCTTATTGTTGCTTTTTGTTTGTGATCCTAATTGTGCTTGGTAACTAATAGGGCCAAATTCATAGTTGACTCGTGTGTTTCTGTCGAATGACACGATGATTCACCTATGGTTTTACTCTCAAACCTTATGTTTTTGTTGTAGAAACTACATTAGTGCCTTTTACTGCATTTATTCTTTCTTGCAACTAGGCCTATCAATGGATTGAGTTTGGATCAGATTTTTAATGTTACTATTTTTTGTTTTGGGTTTGAATGTTACTATTTTTGTTTGAATGCATCCTCAGTTGCCCATGTTGCTTAAAATGCTCAGTGTGTTACTGGTTTGTTCAACGTTTCATGTTACTACTTTTTTTGGTGAGCATATTATTATTTCCTCGTTTATGCATCATCAGTTGCCCATGTTGATTAAAAATGCCCAATGTGTTACTAGTTTGACCCCTAATTTTGTTCAATTTTTCATGTTAATACTTTTTTTGTTAAGTATGTTTCTGTTTCTTGCTTATACATTATCAACTATCCATGTTGCTAATCATTCTCCGGTTAATATTCAATGTTACTATTTTTGTGTTTTGAATGTTAATATTGAATGTTACTATTTTTTTATTTTATTTTTTCTAAAATGTTAATTCAATGTTACTATTTTTTGTGGTTGAATGTTACTATTATATATGTGTGTGTGTGTGTGTATGAGAGAGAGAGAGAGAGAGAGAATTTTAATGTTACTAAAACTCCTAAATTTTTTTTAATTAAATATAATTACTTGAGGTATTTTTGGACAACAAAAATTAAAATATATTTATTTTCAAATAAAATTTTTGAGTGGACTTAAGTCCAAATAAATCTAAAAAAGTAGACCGCCTTCAAATTTTGCTCAAAAAAATTGAGTGAAGTTTGGAGGTCAATCCCCCTATATGGACTTAAGTCCTCTAAGAAAACTTATTTGTTATGAAGTCCATTTTTTTTTGTCAATCTTTACCAGACTATCCCTTCTCTTTAGAAGTGAAGTAAAACTAAAAATTAAAAACTCGTAAATTTTAGGAGTTTAACTAATATTAAAAGAAAATTCTCTCTACAGATCACTCTTAATACTCCCTCACCCAGAAATTATACCACACCCCTTTGCCAATAAAACCAACACCTCAATCCATTCCAACCTTGCAGAACCTGAGCAAAATACGAAAGATACTATCCAACATTTGCAGAGAAGAAAAATACCTAGATTCACCTCCACAAAATCCCTTTCAAAAACTTCAAAATCAGCTTTAGGTAACCTACTTCATAAAATCCAAGTGGTTGAAAACACAGTGGAACTGTCCTCCTCTATGGATAAGGAGGAGGGCCTTACCATGCCCCCACCCCCTCATGATCGGATACATCTAGAACTGTGGAGGGTTAGCCCAGACCTCGACAATTTGTCATTTAAGGGCTCAAAAAAGAGAAGTCCATCCAGACTTCCTATTCTTGTCAGAAACAAAAATTGGACAAGAAAAGGCTAGCAGAATATTGAGAAGTTTGGGTTTCTATATGTAACGCCCCAAAACACACCCTGGACGGCATTACATTCTAAAATCATTCATATCATGAGAGCACTAATATAATCCCTTAAGAAACAAGACTTCATTTGTCATCCACGAATATTTACAACATTATCCAAAAGAATAAGCCCAAGTCATGGCTATTACATCTCAAAAAATAATTAAAGAAGCACAACGGAATAAACAAAAGAAGCTAGACTACACAATGTTCCAAAAAAATGTCCTAGTCTAGTACAAAAGGAAAGGAGGTCGCTCTATGCGTTCACCTCGGGATCCACACTCCCGTCAAGTGGAGTCTCCCAAGTAGCGGGCTCCTCGACCCTTACGTCCTCCTCCTCAAGCGGGTAATCTGAAAAATGTTAGCGATAGGGGGTGAG